ATTCATCTTTTACTAGATAAATTGAAGTAAATTTACGATTTCAAAAATATTAAAATTGAGAATTTAATTAACTATTTAGTGTTGGCTTGCCTGACAGTGGTATCCGGCGCCATCACGACTTTTAACGGATTTTGGGTCGTGACAACGGACTTCCAAATCAAATCACGGACCTACGCCTAAGTCCGAGATCACCATACGAAGCAATTGACATCATAAAAATTCCATTCCGGAGTCGTTTGCTCAAAAGACAAATCTCCGGTCAACTCTTTCCATTTAAGCTTCAAAAATGAGAATTTCTCTTTCAATTTAGTTCTGAACCTTCCAAAAACCAACATCGACCGCACACGCGAGTCATAATATATATTACGAAATTGCTCGGGACCTTAAGTCGTTGAACGGGACATTAATTCTTAAAACGACAAATCGAGTCGTTACATTACCATATCAATAATAATAATAAGACAAATTATTACCAGGCTAATAATTGTTTTTTTGTTTGGTTCAAACAAGGCTAATAATTGTTTTTCCTTTTGTCATTGCCATATCAATAATAAGGCTAATAATTATTTTTCTTTAATTTCCTTCAATTTTTCTTTGTTTTTTTTGTTTCTCACCTATGTTTAATACTCCTTTGAAGTACCGACTAATCTAAATTGGCTCGCGCAAGACTCATCAAAGGTGGAAGCTTTCCCTATCAGAATTTTCTTTATTTTCAAGATTCGAACCCAAAATTTCTAATTAAATGTGAAAAAATCATTTTTATCCCACCACAACCGCAAGTCTACAGCCGTTGGTATCTCGCCTATGTTTATTACTCCTTTGAAGTACCGACTAATCTAAATTGGCCCGCGCAAGACTCATCAAAGGTGGAAACTTTCCCTGTAGAGTTTTCTCTATTTTCATGACTCGAATCCGAAACTTTTAATTAAAGGTGAAAAAATCATTTCTATCCACCACAACCACAAGTCTACAGCCGTTGGTGGTCGGTTTTTCTTTGTCAAACTAAACGCAGAAATAATAAGACGCCGTTGTTTGTTTTGTTCAACTGTTCGTTTGGTCTTCCTTTCTTTAGTTTCCTCACATCACGCCTCTTTATATGGCATCTTTATAATTGGGAATGTGAATATTTTCAAATAAGATATGTGTATTCTTTCATTATTTCTTTTGTCTTATGATAGTCATGCCTCTTTAATTGGCGTCTTCAGAATTGAGAATATGAATATTTCAAAATAAGATTTTTATTCGTTCGTTTTATTTTTTTTCTTATGCATTTTCGAATTTATGTCTCTAGATTTACAACTATAGCAAAATCATTCAAAGTGTAATGTAATGAATTGATTGACCGAAAGAAGAGTGAGTGTGACTGCAACTGCATGCAGAGATAAACCTATGTATTGAGTAGAAAGTCATCGACCCGTTAACCTCGGTAAATATTTTGAATATATATGTGTATATAATGAAAGCGGTTATATATTTTGCTTGAAACCCTTAAGATCAAAAGTCCGACTGGGATACTGGTTGAGCAATTCGCCCATCTACCTCCGTCACTTTTAAACAGTGCAGGTCGATGTATATACTTAAAATTCACATACGTTACAAAAGAGTAGTGAGTACAAAAATATCAGTATTCATTAATTTAAAATCTTGAATCGACTTATGAAGTTAATTTATTTGGAAGATTATACTCTCTGGATAATTAAGGCCCGGAGTAGGTAAAAAAAGTTGCTTGGTTTAGTCGCTGTTGATTCAAGGAAAAAAATTGCTAGTCTTCTAAGCTTATTCTTTTCCGTAAATATGGGACAAACAGGTGGCAAGAAGAAAATGCGACCTTTTATTATAATCAGAGCTTTTAGGCTCGAGCCTTGAGTATGAAGTCATTTTGTTAGGGAGTATCTTATCTCTTAATGTGAGACTTTCCGTCGCGGGTCACCGGATGAGAAACAATAAAAATGCATAGGATAAGAAACAAGTTTTGGTAATTGAATTGTACGCATTTGATCACTTGTTCTCTGTTAAAATTTTAAAAATTAAAACATTTAAAAAAAAATTAAATTCATATGTGTTCGCTTTGCAAGCGTCCAAAATATTTAAAACTCCTCAAGTTGTTACTTTATTAGTTACTTCATCAATTATCAAGCACTAGTTAAAGTTTAATTTTTAAGATACAAGGGTTGTTGAATTATTCGTAAAAATAGAAGGGGCTAGCTAGTTTCGGACTGGTAATTGAAAAATAGCCAGCGTTTGTAAAGTAATGAAAAATAGCTATATTTTGCTGCAACACGGAAAGTTCTAGCATAATATACTGGAGATTGGTGCACCTGTGTATGAACTTCTAATCATATTATGCTGGTACTGCAGCACACAGAAAGTTTCAATATAATATACTGGAGATTGGAGCACCTGTGTATGAACTTCTAGCATATTATGTTAGACCAGTATATTATGATGGGGTTCCAGTATAAATATACTGGAACTCCATCATAATATACTTGAGTTCTAGCATAATATACTGTAAAAAATTTATTATGCAGGAATATTTATTACTTGAGTCACATGTAAAAAATTCGAACTCGAGTATATTATACTGGAATATTTTCCGAATTTTGAACAGTGTTTTCGTTCAAATTTATCTTTACATGAAAAGTAGCTAAATTTCGATTACCTTTAAAACTATGACTATTTTTCAATTACCACTTGTAAATCTGGCTATTTTTGAATTTCACCCAATTATTCAAGTGTCTCCGCAAATAGTTGATTTAGAGTGGTCACTACTTACCATATTAACCAGTTTTAAAGACTAGTAGATGAAGGTAATAAATACAATATGCAACTTACTTACAAAAATAACCAAATAATGGTAAAATTATAGAGATTCCGTTGAGCCATCATTTTAATTATACGGCAAATATAATAAAACAGTTATATAGCAAATATAGACCTCTAATGAGACAAGACAAAGTCAAACATTTAATTAACAATATAATTAAAATTCTAACAATCACAAGGCTAAAAACTACTATATGCCTTAAGAGAGACGTTACACATTCAATAATGTAACCAAGATTAGTAATTCTCGTAATTTAAATAGTTAAAAATGTCCGTGTACGCAGACCTTACCTCTACCATGAGGTAGAGAGGCTGTTTCCAATAGAAACTCTTGGGGTGACTCGAACTCACAACCTCTTAGTTGGAAGTGAAAGTAGAGGTTGCTTACCATCAGAGCAACTCCTCTTTATCATTTCATTTGCATTATACAAATAACAAGATTGTCCTAAACCCACATTAGCAAAGAAAACCAAGAGAAAATAAGACAAACACCACAGTTTGCATTTCACTATAAGTTAGATTGTTATTATATCCTTGTTTGAAGTATTTATTCTCTAACTTAAAATTGAAAAATATAATTAATTAAATAATTATCAAGCAATCAACTATATTTTCATCTTAAATTAATAAACCTCAGTTATATTAATGATTTTTCAGTCCTTCTTTACTTAGATGGACATATCTCAACAATTTAGAGTGTTGGTAATAAAATAATTTTTGACATTTATCATCAATCTATTCAAATATTCTTCATTTCTCCGAGTTTATTGAATATTCTCATTCAATTTAACCATTCACTATTTTAAGTTCATTATTCCAATTAATTCAGATTCGTATTTGGTAAAGTGACTAAAGGTTCAAATGCACAACACCAAGAAATTCTCATTCACAAAATTCTTCTGCTAAGAGCGGAGAAATCTCAATCATAACCTCTCTATAACAACATCATTATATAATAGTCATTAATTATAAAAATCAGATTTTTCTCGAAACCGATTTTTATGTTACGTTACAATATATGTCATTTATAGCAACATTTCACTGTAGCAACAAAAAAATATCGAAACAAACAAGATTATTTTAGAGAGCTTGAATGTATAACACTAATATACTTCTCAAACAAAAGTTTATGAAGTTAAATATTTTGAAAAAAGAAAAGCAATTTTTTTTTTTAAAAAAATGAATAAAACAGGAAATGGAGCAACAAGTTGATGACAAAGATACAGTTCATCTAAAGCTGTCAACATTAAGCATAAATCCTCTCTTTGCATAAATATGAAAAATCAAAATCATTGCCCAACCCAAACCCCAAAAAGTAGAGTACTATACAACATAGCTGCTTCTATACACAAAAACTAAAAACAGCTCAAAAACCAAACACAAATTTCAAGAAACAAGACCCAAAAAAAATCTCCAAAAATCTCCATTTGTTCCTCACATTATATGTATCTACTACCCTAGATCTTCAAACCCCATCAATGGCTTCCTCTCCCCACCCACCTCACCACCCCCACTACCTCCTTCTCCTCCTCTTTCTCATCACCTTAATCCCTTTCACATTTTCAGATGATGCTGCTGTTATGTCAAAGCTACTAGCTGCTCTTTCTCCAGCTCCTTCAGGGTGGTCATCTGATAAACCATTTTGTTCTTGGACTGATGTGAGCTGTGACAAATCTAGTGGTACTGTAGTTTCAATTAATATTGATTCACAGTCTCTTTCTGGTTCATTACCTTCTGATCTGAACCAACTTTCAAATCTTAAAACCCTTTCTGTTCAAAAGAATTCACTTTCTGGCCCCTTACCTTCTTTTGCAAATATGACCAAATTAGCTGAGATTTACTTGGATAATAACCAATTCACCTCTGTTCCTCAAGATTTCCTTTTGGGGCTCCCTAGTTTGCAGACTTTTAGCATTAGTGAAAATGGGAAGCTTAGTCCTTGGCAAATTCCTTTGTATTTGACTGAAAGTAGCAATCTTGGTACTATTCTTGCAAGTAATGCTAGTATTTTTGGTGTTATTCCTGATTTCTTTGATGCTTTCCCAAATCTTCAAGATTTGAGATTGTCTTATAATAATTTTACTGGTTTTTTGCCTGCTTCTTTTGGGGGTAGTGAAATTAGGAATTTGTGGCTGAATAATCAATTTCAAGGGCTATCAGGTACTATTGATGTGATTGAAAATATGACACAATTGTCACAAGTTTGGTTACATGCTAATTCTTTTAGTGGTCCAATTCCTGATTTGTCCAAATGTGAGAATATATTTGATTTGCAGTTAAGGGACAATCAGTTTACTGGTGTTATTCCAGATTCAGTAATGGGGTTGCCTAAGTTGGTAAATATTACTTTGCAAAACAATAAGTTGCAAGGTCCTATGCCACAGTTTAAAGATGGGATTAAGGTGCAACTTGGTACTACTAATAGCTTTTGTCAGTCCACTCCTGGACCGTGTGATCCGCAGGTTACAGCACTTCTTGAAGTAGCTGGTGGTTTTGGTTATCCAGAGACTTTGGCTGAGTCTTGGATAGGCAATGATCCTTGCAAAGGATGGTCATATATAAGCTGTGATGGAAAGAATGTAGCTGTTGCAACATTTGGTAAGCGGCAGTTTTCAGGTTTTATTTCCCCTGCTTTTGCAAATTTGATCTCTTTGAGGACCTTGCTTTTGAATGATAACAATCTTACTGGATCTATACCGGGAATCTTGACAACTTTGTCTAAGCTTCAAACCATTGATGTTACTAATAACAATTTATCTGGTCCTTTGCCTGTGTTTCGATCGGGTGTTAAGTTTACTTATGGTGGTAACTTATTGCTTGGAAAGAATAGTAGTGATGGAGGGGGGAGTGGTGGATCACCAGGGTCGAACTCGAGTACTGATGGTGGAAATACATCTGGTGGTTCAAAGAAGTCCACAGTTTCAGCTGGAATGATTATTGGTGTGGTTATATCTGTTGTTATTTTTGTCCTAGTTGTTTTGTTTGTGTCTTACAAATGTTACATAAAGAGACGGCATAAGAGATTCGGGAGGGTTGAGACTCCGGAAGGAAGCAATCAAATGGTTAAGCCCAATGTAGTGAGTGGTACGAACGGGTATGCCGGAGTCCCGAGTGAGCTACAAAGCCAGAGCAGTGGTGATCATAGCGAGATGCCGGTATTTGAAGGTGGAAATGTTGCCATTTCTATCCAGGTGCTTCGACAAGTGACGAACAACTTCAGTGAAGAAAATATCTTGGGCAGAGGAGGATTTGGAGTTGTTTATAAGGGCGAATTACATGATGGGACTAAGATTGCTGTGAAGAGGATGGAATCCGGGGCGATGGGTACTAAAGGAATGAACGAATTCCAAGCTGAAATCGCGGTCCTTACCAAGGTTAGGCATAGGCATCTTGTTGCTCTTCTTGGTTTTTGTGTTAATGGGAACGAGAGACTTTTGGTATACGAGTACATGCCACAAGGAACTTTAAGTCAGCATTTGTTTGAATGGCAAGAACTCGGCTACCCACTTTTAACTTGGAAGCAAAGGGTAACAATAGCATTAGATGTTGCAAGGGGAGTTGAGTATCTCCACAGCTTGGCGCAACAAAGTTTTATCCATAGAGATTTGAAACCCTCTAACATACTTCTTGGGGATGACATGAGAGCCAAGGTTGCAGATTTTGGATTGGTCAGGAATGCGCCCGATGGGAAATATTCTGTTGAGACACGGTTGGCTGGAACTTTTGGCTATCTGGCGCCTGAATATGCTGGTAAATACTTCCTATGCTTATCATAATCCTTTTTAATTCACATGAGAACTGATTAGCATGCCTCTACGGGCAAACTCTGCATTTGATAGAAAACTAAGATTATCCTGTCATTAGCTTTCATGTGCTTTATAATCCTCAAAATATTAGATAGTAATAGCGACTAGTTGTTTTATTGAAGTGAGTTACCATGCTTAAATGCTAGTTTGTTCATTTTGTTCCCACTCATGGATTATTCACTAGCAATGTTCAGTAAAGTAACTGTATTTTAGCGAAAAGGAGTATAGTTGAAAGACAAACGTAGGTGGAAATTTAGAAATCCAATCATCCCGGTCTTCAAAGTGAAACTTAAGCGTTTACGTAATTGATTTGCTTAGTATTGATGTTGGTATAACGTGCATTAATGATCCCGTTGAATCTAAAGAGAAATTCCGATAGCAAAATATCGTTCTTTTTCTAGACATGAGTTCTACATCTCTACATTTGGCATTGGCTGACAATAGTTTTCTGCTCCTAACATGTTTAATTTTTTCCTTTTGATTAAAATCTTGTTTTCTCTTGTCATATCCACTTCCGGCATGTTTCTTGCATCGTAGAAAAGAGAAAATTTCCATCTTTTTCGGACTAACACTTAGATTAATCGTAACCTCTTCTCTTTGTTACAGCTACTGGACGTGTCACAACCAAAGTAGATGTGTATGCATTTGGGGTTGTTTTAATGGAGATCATCACTGGTAGAAAAGCATTAGACGAGACAATGCCAGATGAGAGGTCCCATTTGGTGACATGGTTCCGCAGAGTCCTTATCAACAAAGACAACCTCCGAAAAGCTATCGACCAAACACTTGATCCTGACGAGGAAACATTCGAGAGCATTGCTAAGGTTGCCGAGTTAGCAGGCCATTGCACTGCACGCGAACCATTTCAGCGCCCCGATATGGGACATGCTGTCAATGTTCTTGCGCCCCTTGTAGAGCTGTGGAAACCTACGAGAAATGAAGACGAAGACAGCGGCATTGATCTCCATATGAGCCTTCCTCAAATCCTACAAAGATGGCAAGCTGATGAAGGAACTTCAAGAATGTTTGATGATTTCTCCTACAGTCAAACACAGTCAAGCATACCTTCAAAACCTTCTGGATTTGCCGATAGTTTTAATTCAACAGATTGCAGATGACAGATAAGCAAAAATCAAGAAAATTTCTTCCTAAAGGGAAAAAGACAATGGTGCAGAATTTTGGGGTAACAGGTCAAGCTCAGACCCCACACGGTTTTCATCTTTTTGAATCACTAAATTCATTTGGTTAATTGGTTTCTTCTTAACAACGCGTTTTACTTTTTGTCTTCACATTACTTTTTTTGTGATAGACCTAAGTTTATATGTATTTTTTATTTATTTGGATTCTTGAAGGAGCCAGGCTGGACAACAGAGTTTTTGTGTTGTTTTGTTAGAAGGGAAATTGTATTAAATTCTTTTTTATCTTACATAATTAATGTACATATGATTGAGACTTATTTAAGCATGCACCATTTTCTACCTTCTAAATTTTGGTAGAAAGTCTTTTTTACTTTCAGGTGTGGTATTATCTTTCTGGCTGGTGCTGTTATTGATTTACTATCTCTTTTTGTCTTTTTAAGCTGAGGATCTATTGAAAATAGCCTCGCTGCTTCTCTAGATTAGAGGTAAGGTCTGCGTACACACGATCTTCCCCAGACCCTACTTGTGGGATTTTACTGGACTGTTGTTGTAGTTTGCCAGTAGAAAATTGGATTTTAACGTTGTACCTCCTTTCAGCACAGGTACTAGGGAGCTTTGCCCGTGTGCAATTCGACTATTTTGCTAGGCAGCTTTTGTTACTTTGCGCTAAAAGTTTAGGCAAATAAAAAGAAATCACATTGTATTTCTTGTCTTGATTTTCGGATTTGAATTCTTATTTCTCAAGGTATGTATGCACTTGGTTGATATCGTAGGCCACATTTTTTGGTGCAACAAATAGTAATTTTCTATACATTAGAAGTGAGAATAATGCAAACTGTTTGCATTCTACATTTGAAATTTCTACTAAAGAATTCTCGATGTGCTGTAAATTTTTTAATGAATTTATACATATTTGCTTAAACATTTTTGCTGGATCTAAGCTGTCAAATAGGCCATTCTTTGGCTTTTTCTTGATTTTTTTTCTTGGGATTATGATTGGGTTTTATAGTAGAATTTCACATGGGGTGAGCAAGAATATTTTGTGTAAANGTTGTGGTGCACATGTTATGGCGACTTTTTGTCAATCCTTTAAAGTTTTTATATAGGATTTAATGGGTTTTGTATTTAAGAAGAGGACATTAAATCTATTCTTAGTCAAGATAATGACAGGGTATTTAGGTCAAATTTTTGATGTAATGGATTTCTAGATAGCGTAACGAGTAATGGCTACAAGCTAGCAACTGAAATTTTCTTCTTCTTGTTTTCTTTTTTTGGTCCCCTCTTTTGCCAACTTTTTTATCATGTGATGTAATAGTATGTCTCAATCAAGAGTAGAAGTTTCTCTTCCTCATCTCTTTCTCTCTATAGCCCCCCTCAC